AGTGGGTAAGGGTGCTTGCTGCCAAGCCTAGTGACCTGGGTTTGAGCTTTGAAACTCATACACTAGAAGAAACAGTCCCTACGAACTGTCCTCTTAACTTCTACAAATGTGCCATGGCACCCTCCCTGTATACCCCTACTACCGCCCTCCTGAACCTCTCTCCAAGGGTACACTCTGAAAGAAATAAATAATGTATAATAATAATAATAACATTTTATAAAATATTTAACAATACCCCTCCAAACAGGTAATTGGGCCATGAGAGATGACTCAGTTGGCAAGGGGTGTGCCATCCAAGCATGTGTAAGGAGTAGGTTTTTCCGCCAGCCCACTGCTGGTCTTGTCCCGCCGCCACGCCAACCCCAATTAATGCACAGAGACTCTGTATTTGATATAACTGCTGTTGGCCAGTTACTTCTTTCTTATCGGTTAGCTCTGTCTTAAGTATTAACCCATTGCTGTTAATCTATGTATTTCCACGTGCTCTTACCGGAGAGCCTGCTGGCATCTTGTCTCCCCAGTCTCTCCATCTTGACTCCTCCTCCCTACTTCCTCTTTTCTCCTTGTCTCCTAGTCCCTCCTATCTTCCTTTCCTATTGGCCAACAGTGCTTTATTCATTAACCAGTATGAGAAACATATATACAGAATAACATTTCCCATCAAGCATGAGGATCTGAGTTTGGGTCCCCAGAAACCACATAAAAGGGTGTTTTCAGCTGAGTGTGCCTGTAATTCCAGCTCTAGGAATTAGAGACAGGAAGATCATTGGGACTTGCTGGTCAGCTAGTCTAGCCAAATTGGTAAGCTCCAAGTTTGGTGTGAGACCATGTTGTAACACTATTTTTAAAAGACCCAAAGTCTGATATTGGGGTTCAAGGTTCAAGCTGAAGATCAGAGAAGCAAAGCAGCCAGCTACTAGCTCTTACCTCTACCTCAGCTCAGACCAAAGGGGTGATCCTCAGATTGCTCCTGACTTCACTGCTCCTCAGATTCATTCAGACTGGTATGCTTTCCTCAACATGGCTAAAGACTAATTCTCAGACTGAATACCTCTACATTTTATACCTCTCAAATCCTGGAATTAAAGGCATGGGATCCCAAGTGCTGAGATCTCCTTTGTGTGAGACATTGCTCTTTTAGACTGGATTGTTTTTGTATAGCTCAGTGTGGCCTTGAGCTAACAGAGATCCATCTTTCCTGAGTCCTAGGATTAGAGGTGTGTACCACCACCACCTAGCTTCTATAGCTAGCTAGTAGCTGGCTTTTCATTCTGATCCTTCAGGAAATCTTTATTAAGTCATAAATAATGTCACCACACCATGTCTCAAAAAAAAAAAAATAATAAGGTGGAGAGCAATAGAAATTCACAGCCAAGGCTGACCTCTGCATTCCACAGGCACACATGTGTGCTCATGTGCACACAGACACACATGCAAACATGCAAGGACTATATCACAAACATACAACAAACAACAACAAATATGATTGCTTCTGCTATTCCATTGTGCTCTCACACAAGTTAATGCCATTTCAGCATCTTGGTGTGCACAGACAGTAGCAGCAGAGATGTAAATTGGTTTGAAACAGGAAAAAAAGAAAGGGAAAAATAAGGGAAAGAAAGAGGCCCTTTATCCCAGAGTGGGGTTGAAATCTTTCACTTGCTGATAGGTGGGGGAGTGAGGTGGTGTGGGGTTCTTAGCAACTCTTAAGATGTAATTTAAGAAACACCTAGTCCTCTATTTGGTTACTACCAAGACACAAGAGCAGGACTCTCTCATGAGAAGTCAATGTCTCTACCTCCGTGTGTCTTAACCATCCCTTGAGTGTCTCTTTAATAAGTAAACTTCAACTCTGCTGCTTCATTCTGGCCTGCTTGGAATTCTTTTCCTTTTCTGCAGCAAAATCAAGAATTCCCACTTCACTTAAGTAGCATTCTCGGAGGAGAACTCTCTGGCTGCTACAGCAGACAATATGGAGGGAGTCCTGTCTGCAGCCCAGGCTCCATTACTGCTGATAGGTTGAGGGACCTGAATGATGCTGTGCTCTATCTAGTAGAAGAATCTGGAGCACACAGAATGATCTAGAAAGAAGAGGAAGAAGAAAGAAGGCAGCAGGGGAGGTTGAAGTTAGAGTAGTAGAAATGGCCAGGCATGGTGGCACACTCCTCTAGTCCCAGCACTTGGGAGGCAGAAGTAGGCAGAGCTCTGTGAATTCAAGGCCAGTATGAGCTGTATAGTGAGTTCCAGGCTAGCCACAGTTATATAATGAGACCCTGTCTGAAAAAATAAAACACGATTAATAGAAATGGATAAGAGAGGAGTTGGAGAGATGGTGCAATGGTTAGGAGCACTTGCTGCTCTTGTAGAGGACCTGAGTTTTGTCCCAGCACCCACATGGAGGCTCACAATGATCCAGAATTTCATTTCTGGGGACATCCACAGCACATACATGGTACACAAAGATACAGGCAAAACACCCATATTCAAAATAATGGGAAAAAAAAAAAAAAAAAAGGAAACAGATAGGAGGCCAACTGAATGGTGTTTAATATTCAACTTTTAATTTTCTCCTAAACCTCTGGAAAAGTCTCTAACAAGCACACCATATATGTGAATGGTTCTCATAAAATGAGATGCTATTTACTAGCTTTTTAGTATGTTCTGGGCATTGTGTTAACATATATCAGTATGTGATTTATGCTACAATAACTTAGGAAGACACATGTTGTACCTTTCCTAGGTAACTAGATTGAGAGTCAAAGAGATTAAGACACTGGCACAAGGGCACATAGCCAACACACAATGTTTAGGTTTTCTTTTCTTCCTTGTGATGCTGGGGATGGAACCCAGGGCTTTGGACATACTTGGCAAGCATTCTACCAATTGAGCTATTCCCCTAGTCTTCATTATTTGTTTTTTAAAAACCCAAGAGTGAGCAGCATACAGTTGTGTGTGGTGACATTTTATTTATGATTTATTAAAGCTTGCCTGGGGATTCAGAAAACAAAGTCAGCCACAAGCTACAGAGGTCAGTCAGTGGTGGCATCCAACTTTAATCCCAGGACTCAGGAGACAAAGTCAGATGGATTTGAGGTCAAGGCCACCCAGGCCTACATGATATTGAACCAGTATAAAAGAGTAACAGAGCTCACACCTTTAATCCCAGGACTCATGAGAGGTATTTAAGACAGGATCAGGGTCTCAGAGCTGGCATTTATTCTCCAGCCACATTGAGAATAGGAAGACATTGACATCTCTAGCCACAAAGAGGACAGCATAGTAGTCTGAATGAATCTGAGGAGCAATGAAGTCTGGATCAGTTTGAGTTTCGCCCCTTTGGTCTGAGCTGAGATAGAGGTAAGAACTAGTGGCTGGATGTTTTGTTTTTCTGATCTTCAGCTTGAAGCTTGAACCTCAATATCTATCTCTGAGTCTTTTATTTTTCTTGCTACAGTTATGAAGTGTTAATCTCTCTGCCTGTACTTTTCATATTTGATAAACTTCACACCTATTGGGGTGTTTTTTGTGTCGTGGGGTCAGTTGAGGAAAGAAGGCACTCCAAGATGAAATTTTAAGACCAATGTGGCAGCAGGAAGGTCTAGCCTCTCTGATGGAATGAACCCTGAAGAGCTGTACCAAGGTGCATTTATTGATTGTTACACAAGGTTGGTTTTTGGGTAAAGTATTTCCTCATACCAAGGTCCCTAATCTAATTTATGTATCTCTCTAAAAGAGAGCATCACATGCTTTCATGACTTTAGTCCTTTATTGTGAATTCATTTGCAATACACAATAATCCAAGAGCCTCAGATATGCCAGAGGCATCTTCTAACCAAAGTCATGGGAAGGCTGCAATGCCCCTTCAGATAATTCTATAAACCATGGAAAACAATCACTGTTTTCCACAAAGATTCTTTACTGGTTCTCACAATGATTCTTCAAGGCCAAAATACTTCCAGAAAACAACTAGTCACTCTAATGTTTACCAGGGATACAGTGAAAACTATTCAGTCTAATGTCTACCTCAGATACAGCAATTCTGCTGAATTCCTACAACATACACTCAAAACAACACTTTTCTTGCACCTAAGACATAGCAAATGTTGGGGCATTGTATGGGGAAGTAGCAGCGGAGAAAACAAGTCATTTTTTAAGGAGGAACTGCAGACCCATGCAGTTCTGTGGGATTATATATCAAATGTGCTCTAATTCTATATTCACCATCTAGACATTGAAAAGGTGGAGCAGACACATTGTGACTTTAAGACAACGAGCTAACCGAAAGGCAGAGAGTGGAGAGAGGTTTAAAGTACTGTGTAAGATTGCTTCCAGAAAGTGCTTCAAGGTGGGCTGCCTATGTGCTCTTCGGGGGACTGTGGTCATTGCGATATTATTTAGAGATATATCCCCAAGTTCAACTCTTCTACAACTGGCTAGCGTAAGCTCTCGAAGCTCTCCGGAGTCTTCACATGTAAATCGTGGGGCTTGCATGATTCAGGGACATTTCTGGAATAGGTTCACTGCCAGCGACCATGCAGGTCCTAGCATCTTTTGGCTGAGACTGGGAGGGAGAAGTAGGAAAGTGGGCGTGAGAAAAGGGTGCACCAAAGTGCGATCCGGACTGTACTATCCGGTTAGATAACAGCGGGCTCCTGGGAATCAGCAAAATCTTCACTGAGCCGTTTTCCCCAGTGCCAGCCAAAATCGTCGCCAGTGGTTTCGGCCCCTCCACCCGGCTGGTTTGAGCTGCATTCGGCATTTCCCGTTCTTGCCTCGGTCCTCCCGGGGATCCGCCCAGAGTGGGAGTGGATTCACCGAGGGGCTGTGGCTAGGGCTCCCAGTTTTCTCCTCCTTGCCTCCGTCCTCTCGAGGACACGCTCGCAGAGGGCGTGGCGTCAGCGAGGGGCGTGGGTTAGGGCTCCCTGTTTTTTCCTCTCCGCCTCCATCCTCTCGGGGCTCCGCCCACGAGGGCGTGGCTCCAGCGAGGGGGCGGTGGCCCCGGCTCTGACAGCAGCTCCCCGCCCCCGCGGCCCGCCACGTCCCGCACGTAGCGCCCGGGCTGCGGCACAGAGCGGCAGGCTGGTGCCGGGGGCTCGGCTCCGCCGGCAGGGCTCGGTATGAGGCTGGCAGGGCTGCTCCGAGGCGGCCGGGGAGTCAGGCCGCGCTGCGGGGTCCCCAGTGCCAGCCGCAGTCTGGCCTCGGCCTCGGCCTCGGGCCCCGGGCCGGAGACGGAGCGCGGCGTTCCGGGCCAGGTGGACTTCTACGCGCGCTTCTCGCCGTCGCCGCTCTCCATGAAGCAGTTCCTGGACTTCGGTGAGGGCGGCCAGGCCTCCGTGTGCGGGCTCCGTCCTCCCAAGCGCACCCCTACTTCCTCTTGTCGCCTCCCCTGTGTCTTAGGTGCTTCCTTCCTTCCCGGAGGGTGCGGGCGCTGGCAGGCCAGGCACGTAACCGGAGCTTGAGACCGTAGTATAGGGGGGAAACAAAGCGGGGGCCCCCGTGGGCTGCAGCCTTCCGCGCACGTGCGCAGGTATGAGCTGCGGACCCGGTGTCTTCCGGGGAGTCTTGCACAGGTTCAAGGCCAGAGCGCACACTGCTTTGAGGGTGGCGTTCGGCAGAGGCAAGGTTGAATGCCAGCACGTCGATGATCGTCTAGAGTGGCGTGATGGCAGGAAAACAAGTTACTACTGGCCCAGTTCTTTACTCGCCAGTGTTTCCACCGAGAGCAAGTTCGTTTCATCAGTCAGCCCCAAGCACGTGTAAAGTGCCTGATCTTGTCTGTGAATTGCAGAAGGAACTGCAGAATTAGGCCTTTGACTTCTCATCCGGAGTAATGAGAGGGACAAGGAAAATGCTTAATATAAATTCTTACATTGAAATCCAAAAGTTCTGGAGTAGAAAAAGTTATCTCTGCGTCGTATTGTCACGTTATAATATGGTTGGCAGGCATGAGAGATACGTGGCATGGCTGGGTGCTTTATCTTAAAATTGTGGTTTGCAGTCACAGGTGGTTTTCTTGTATTTGTCTTTCAAGGGAGTAAGCAAGGCTCTGTTTTTTTGCTGTTGTTTTTAAATGCCTGTACTGTGGTGCAGTGATGTTCACCTTGTTCATGGATATGCCATTAAACTTTTGCAAGATGCTTTCTTTAATAACAAACCTACTATTGACAGGATTGTTTCTGCTAGGGTTTCATCTGCAAGATTATATTAGTTTTAAACGGGTTGCTGAAATAAGACTTTAGTTTAAGTGAAGCTGCTTGCCATGGCATGGATACTTACCAACTATTCTGCCAAACATCCGGATACAAGAGTGGAGAAGGGCAGGTGAATTTCCCAGGAATCAGACAATTGAGTAGGTTCTACCTGGTGCTTGCTGACTGGTGCTGGTGGCCTTTGCCTCCTGTTACCTGAAAACCTTGTTTGTACTGGTTCCATTGTGGTGATTGATGTTTGTGTCTAGTCAATCTTGACCTACCTGATCAAAATTTACCCAGAGTCAGGGGTCAGAGTTTCTAAAGGGTAGCAGCAGTGGGCACAGAGAATGAGCCTTTCTCACCTCTACTCATAGCCCCCCCCCCCCCGCCTTAAAGCAGTCACATCCAATTTGTCTTAATCCTAAAGTGGATAGTAAGTGCAAAGTTTAACAAAGTACCCACTGAATGGTTGAATGTCAGGAATTGAAGGGTCTTTCTGAAGTTAGGGTTTCTTTAGACCAGTTAGCTCAACCTTGCCTGGATATATCTTTGCTTCCCAGCCCCTTCCTCTCTCCATGGTAATTCTACCATCATGGCCTTCCCAAGCTACTCCTTTCCCTTTCCCCTCACTTCCTGGCTCCTGATAGTTTGTGCCTTCTACTTAATACCTTTTCCACTGTGCTTTGTTTCAGGATCAGTAAATGCTTGTGAAAAGACCTCATTTATGTTTCTGCGACAAGAGTTGCCTGTTAGATTGGCAAATATAATGAAGGAAATAAGCCTTCTTCCAGACAATCTTCTCAGGACTCCATCAGTACAGTTGGTACAAAGTTGGTAAGAGTCCCATCCTGTGTTTACAGTTTCAGTGGACTTGTGGACTTTGTTCAAGGTTAAAGAAAGTAGTTTTACTTATTACTTGGTTTTTATTTCTTTGGCTTTTGAGACAGGGTCTCATATAGCTCCTCCTGGCCTGGAACTCACTGTATATATAGACTAGGATGGCCTCAAATTCAGAGAGGTCCATTTGTCTCTGTCTTCCAAGTGTTCTAGATTACTTTATTTATTTGAGATAGGGTCTTAGCTTGTAGTTCCAGATGGCCTGGAACTTTATGTAGACCAGGCTGGTCTCAGACTCAAAAAGATCTGTTTGATTTTTCCTCCCAAGTGCTGAGATTAAAGGTTTGTACCACCATGCCCATGCTCTGTCTTTATTTTGGTGTGTGTGTGTGTGTGTGTGTGTGTGTGTGTGTGTGTGTGTGTGTGGTACCTGTGGAATCCAGACAGAAGAGGGCACAGATCCCTAGGAGCTAGAGTTATGGGCAGTTGTAAGCTGCTTTACGTGGGTGGTGGGAACCCAATCTGAGTCCTCCCCTAGAGCAGCAAGTGCTCCTAACTGTTGGGCCACCTCTCTTGCCCTGCACATGCTCTTCAGTAGAATCTTAAGGCAATCAAGGCATTCCCCTGGTCTCTGTATGTCTTGTCTTCTCAATACCTTACTTGATTAAAATCCCTTGGTTTAAAAATAAATTCCTTGGTTTTGAAAAAAACAATCAGGCCTGCACAGAAATACTAAGTTCAAGATTTATGTCAGTGTCTCTGCAGGAGTGTTATATTCTAATGAGAAAAATATCCACCCTTTGCTGGTGGCTATATACATATATACATTTCTTTTTAGTCTTTTAACCATGTCTCGTAGGTGTGATCCACTGCTTTTACTGGTGAGGAAGCTAAGACACTATACAGTCCTTTGTCTGGGTGTAAGCACGAGAGAGGAGTCCTGGGTTTCAAGTCCAGATGTGTCTGCTGCTACTGCTGCTGCTATGCCGTGGTGTCTTCAGAATGATGACATATATTTAGGGCTGCATGTATTTTATTATAAAGCCAGTGTATTTTGGCGAAGAACATCTTTTTATAAATTATACAGGCTAAGGAATGGAGATGTAGTGTAGTTGATAGAGTGATTGCTGGCGTGTACTAGGTCCTGCCCTCAGCCCCAGCACTGCGGAAACCAGCAGTGGTGACTGCCTGTAATGGCAGTATTCTTGGGAAGTGGAGGCAGAGGTCAAGCTTGGTTACACAGCAGGTTCTAGACCAGACTCCTCTAAGTGAGATCCTTTTTCAAACAATAAAAATCGCAGAAGCCACAACTCTTATTCTGCTATTTATTAACATCTGTATTAATGTGTTCATCATGATGGTGTGCATTGATCACTTTCTCCCTTTCAGTATCCCCATAATGATAATACAATTTTTTAAATTTAAAAGTTTTTTTTTAAAAATGTGTATGGGTATTTTTGCCTAGATGTATATCAGTGCACCAATGGTGTCCCTGGTGCCTGTGGAAGCCACAAGTGGGAATCGGATCCCCTGGACCTGAAATTATAGATGGTTGTGAGCTGTGATGTGGGTGCTGAAAACTGAACCCAGGTCCTTTGGAAGAGCGGGAAGTTCTCTTGACCACTGAAGCCATTTCTCTAGCCTGATAATAGAAGCTTTATATATAGCCTGATAATAGAATCCTTTCTTTTTAATATCTATTTATTTTGAGACATTCTTCCTGTCTTCTCCTCTCTACTGCTGGGATTATAGGCATGTATCACCATAGCCTATTTGTTAATTTTAAAGTGTTACTGACTTTGTTTTAAATTATATTTTAAATATCCTCTCTCTGCCTCTCCACCCCCCTCTCTGTGTGTGTGTGTGTTTGAGAGAGAGAGAGAGAGAGAGAGAGAGAGAGAGAGAGAGAGAGAGAGAGAGAGAGAGAACGAGAACAAGCCCATGTACCCAAATTCCTGTGGAGATTAGAGAATAACTTGCAAGAATCAGTTCTCTCCTTCTACCTTGTTAGGCAGGCTTGAGGGCTGGTACCTTTACCCACTGAGCCATCTTTCTGATTCTTGATCCTTATTGTTATTTTGGGAGGCTGTCCTGGGCAGCCTAGAGCTCATGGTACATACCAGGCTGACATTGAACATGTAGAGATTCTCTTGCCTCTACCTCCTTGGAACTGGGATAACAGGTGTTCAGCTATAAGCCAATTTCTTTTTATTTGTTTGTTTTTTGTTTTTGTTTTTCTTTTTAGATGGGGTCTCTGTGTATTCCTGGATAGCCTGGAACACACTATGTAGACCAAGCTGGCCTTGAACTCACAGAGATCCTCCTGCCTCTGCCTTCCCAGTACTGGAATTAAAATCATTAGCTGCCAGCTGCCATGCTAGGGGAAAAATATTATACAAAATTTTTTGTTTGTGAGCATGTCCAGAATCAAGCATTAAGTGTGTATTTGGGGAAGTAATTGCAAAACATTTCCCAATTATGATTAATGGAAAGGCTAATTTGCTATTTGTAGGAATTACAGTTATACTCCCAGTTCCCACATTGGGGGTTTCCCAGTTACCTGTAATTCCAGCTACAAGGGATCCAACACCTTCCTCTGGACTCTGAGGACTCATGTACTTACATGTGCACATATTCCCCCAACATATGTGTACACATAATTAAAAATAAGTTCACAAGAAGATAAACAAGAGCCTGGAAAGTTGGCTCAGTGTTTAAAAGTGTTTATTGCTCTTCCTGAGGGCCAAGGTCAGGCTAATTCCAGCTCCAGGGGGTGTGTCAAGGTCTTCTGGCCTGAAGGAACACACAAACATACACACACACGCACACACACACACACACAGAGAGAGAGAGAGAGAGAGAGAGAGAGAGAGAGAGAAGCAAAAGAAGAATGACTGCTATGTGTTTGTCTCCAGAGGTTAGTTCATGTGGTTAAGTGAGGAAGTGGTTCAGACAGTACCATGGGATACACAGGAGAAAATTTAATCTTCTAAGGAAGCCTTTCCCATTCTTTACAGTTCAGGAAAACTAGATTATCCTGCTTTTTCAAGTCTGATTTTGCCTCGTAAGAGGGAGAGATTTAAATATCTCCTAAGGACCATTTTCTTGGTCTAAAAAAGACGTTTTCTTGCCAATGCTACCACAGCTGTGAGAATCTCTGGGGTTTTGAATACAGTGAGGTCCAATGTCAGGCTAGCACAGGGGCTGTCAGATGTTATTGGTCCTTTCCTTCCCCTGTCCCTGCAGAGTTGGGGCAGTGTGAGGTGCTTCCAGGCACATTGTGCAGGACTTAGACTGTAGAGGTACCCTAATGGCTGTGGAGGTGTTTTCAGCCCCAGCACTGCGGTGGCCCTTATTTATAGCTGTATGATATTGAGAAAGTTCTTTGCCCTTTTTTGTTTTGTCTTAAAGTGCTCATCTGCCTTGAATTGTTGGGTAAATTAAAATCTTACATTTTAATTACTTTCCTGTTTTCTATATGGTAGGTTGTAGGATTTCAGTAAGTACTTATTGACTGGACCTAAACATTTATAATTAAGGGTTTTTTGCTTTGTTTTAGTGTTGGTTTTTGGTTTTTTTGAGACTTCTCTGTAGCTTTGGAGCATGTCCTGGAATTCATTTTGTAGACCAGGCTGGTTTCTAACTCACTCATAATTAAGGACTTAAAACACAACCACTTACACTTAAGTTTAGATTCTTAGAGCAAGGTATACCCCTAATTTTTCTGTGACTAAGACAAGCATTTACCCAGATCATTGTTAGTAGTAACAGTTTAGTTCTCATGATGCAGTATTTATAGTCTAATATGCAGAGGGGTGTGAAAGATAGAATGTAAATCTTTAACTCTTAACTCAAATTTGACCTACTGACCTATGCTTTTGTGTGTGTTGAGGGGCAAATACTGGGCAAATGCTTTACCACCAAACTACACCCTCCAACTCCTTATCAGTTGTAGTTGGATTTCTCTTTGGGTCACCAGCTCACAAATAACAGCACAGAGATTTATTAATTATGAAATCTCAGCTTGTTTTCAGCCTGTTCTTATAACTTAAATTAACCCATGTATATTGATGTACGTTCTGCCCAGTGCATTATACTATACATCCTGTTTTCCCTGTGTCTTCTGGTGACTCTATGCACCTAGACTCCTCCTCCTATCTCTCCTTCTGCCTAGAAGTTCCACCTGTTCTCTCCTGCCTAGCTATTGGTCATGTAGCTCTTTATTAAACCAATCAGAAGGTGCCTGAAGAAGAGACACATCTTTACAGTGTAAACAAATATTCTACAACATCTGATTATTGGTTTTTGTTTATGAGACAGAGTCTCACTGTTTACCTCTGGCTGTCCTGGAACTTGCTGTGTGGACCAGTGTGGCTTTGAATTCACAGAGATCTATTTGCTTTCCAAGTTCTTGGCCAAAAGGCATGCACTACCATGCCAGGCCCTTATCTGTAATTTCAGTGGTAAAATATGTGTTCACTCCTTCCTTCTTTCCTTCCTTCCTTCTTTTCGCTCTCTCTTTCTCTCTTTCTTTTTTTTTTTTTTTTGAGATGTGTGTGTGTGTGTGTGTCTGTTTGTCTGTCTGTCTGTCTGTCTGTCTATCTTTTCTATGGACCAGAAGAGGGTATTGAGTCACCTGGAGCTGGAGGCGCTGATGGTTGTAAGCTGTGTTCTGTGGGTGCTTAGAAACTGAACTTGTGTTATCTGGAAGAGCAGAAAGTGCTCTTAACCACTGAACCATCTCACAAATGCTAATGTGTGTAAAAATCCTATTTCAGGACCAGTATGTAGTTCAGCTAATAGAACGCTTGATCAGCATGCAAAAAGCCCAGATTTGATCCCCAGTCCCACTTGAAGCAGGGCTTGATGGTATATGTCTGCCCCCCCCCCACAAAAAGAATGGAAAAAAAGAAAAGAAAAACATAATCCTACTTCAAACATAATTTATAGGAGTACTCTAAATTTAAAATTACAAGATATTAAAAATACCCTTTGTGCTAAAATTCAGCTCTCTGATTTGTGATTTAGGTATATCCAGAGTCTTCAGGAGCTGCTTGATTTTAAGGACAAAAGTGCTGAAGATGCTAAGACTATTTATGAGTAAGTATAATTGTCTGATCCTATTCTGAATACATATTTTATATATAACATTTTTTTTGAGGCAGGGTTTCCTGGTGTAGCCCTGGCTGTCCTAAAACTCATTTTGAAGATCAGGCTGGCCTTGAACTCAGAGAACTCACAGAGATGCACCTGCCTCTGCCCAGATTTTATATTCTTTAAATGCCATATTAAAGTGTAAATGTGGTTAGCTGAATTTGCCATTGGCCCACTTTAAGGAAACTGATTAACACTGAGGCTTCTTTTACTTACAGCATAGTTACTCTATTAATTTGTAGCAGCCCACACAGATACTGAGGACAACGAGACATTATAAACCACGTTCCACATCCCTCTTTACCATAAGAAGATGTGATGATCAGTGAAAATATGGATGTGCCGCGCATGTCACCAGGTCTCTTGTCCTGGGGAGGGCATGTCAGTTCTAAAGGGACAGCCACCCTCTGCTCATTGATGTGTGCAGAAGCTACCCCGATAATCGGAAATTTTCTATTTTTAAATAAAAGCTTACAAGTCTATATTTTTTTATGTAAGGTCTTTAATTTTGAAACATGGCTATTGCTTATGCTTCTTTGTTTTCTAGAAGGGCTCTTAAGAAATAGCTCTGGGGTGGTGGTGTTGCATGTCTTTAATCCCACATTTGGGAGACAGAGGCAGGTGAACCTCTTGAGTTTGAGGTCAGCCTGGTCCACAGAGTCAGCCTGGTCTACAGAGTAAGTTCCAGGATAGCCAGAGTAATTCTGTCTGGAAAAGTCAAAACAACAAAAAGAAAGAAATAGCTCTGGGTTTCTGTGGTCTGTGATTTATAAAATAATTAAAGCCTTTGTTCAATTCCATAACCTAGATGCCAGTGTTGATAGACCCAGCTGGTTATGTAGCAGTTATCTGCTTGTAATGAATGTTATTAGAGTATAAAGACCATTGTCCTCACAATCTGTCATGCTTTTTTTTTTTGGACCAGCCTTTAAAAGGAATGGCACTACTGCATTTTTCAAACATGCTTTTGGTTTGAAAGTAATATTCATCAGAAAATCACTCTCTAGGTGAGTGATGTAATTTAGTATTTAAAACAAGTCTACTGAGATAGTGCATTTATGCACAAAGAGGGTTGTGGTGTGGGGTCTTGTAGCTAGTAAATGGTGGGACCAGGAACAAAGCAAAAAGTAAATGATAAAAGAATCTATAAATGCTATTGCTACTGTAGAAGCTTTTGAAAACATCCATCATCTATATTCCTTTGGTGGGGCAGGTTTCAAGACAGGGTCTGTCTGTGTTGCAGCTCTGGCTGTCCTTGAACTCACTTTGTAGAGCAGACTGACCTCAAATTTACAGATCCACCTGCCTCTGCCTTCTGAGATCTGGGATTAAAGTCGTGTGCCATCTCCATCAGTCTATATTCTTTTAAAAATTATGAATGCCTGTACATTTTCATGCATATGTACAGGTTCTTGTGCATTTGTGGAGGCCAGAGGACAAAGTCCATTGTTGGCATGTAGAATGCTTGTCAACTGCCTACTTTGAAATGAGGTTTTTTAGCTTAGAGTGTCAATTAGGCTAGATTGGTTGGCCAATGAACTCCAGGCGGGAATCCTATCTATTTCTTCAGGACCGGGATTACAAATGTGTGCCACCATGCTTGGCATTTTTTGCATGAGTTTGTGTGGATTGAACTGAGGTCATTATGCTTGTGCAACAAGTACCTTAGCAACTGAGCTGTCTCACCCAGGCCAGTTTTTGTATTCTGAGACAGGGTCTTATGTGTGGCTGAGACTTTCTTGGAAATCACTGGGTAGCCCAGCCTGTCTTCTAGTCCACAGTGATTTGCCTGCTTCAGCCTCTGTGTGGTATTGTGGGTGAATTGCTCTATCCTGCTCAGCAGTTTTTGTTTTAAAGAAAGAAACAAATAAGGAGGAGATTGTAATTTCCAGTTGATGATTGTTTTTGAGGAATTTTTAAAAATTTTAATTTGTCTTAATAGCTTGCTTTTGAAGTGTATTACCAACTAAGAATTCCAAGAGTGTTTTAAGCAGTGAGAAAACCATTGGACTAAGTTAAACAGTACTTAAGCTGATGTCTTGGGAAAGCAATCACTTGGAACTGTGAATTTAGTAATGGCTAGGTTAGGAGATTGGTTTTGTTACATCACAATTAAGACTTCTGTGTTTTATCTTATTCCTTAAATTGACAGAAATAAGACAGCATGATTCAAAAATCTCTTTTAATCCAACACTTTTCTTTTTCTAACTTACTTTGTAAGTTCAGGGTAGATGAAATCAGGATTCTGTTTTGCTTTTCTGTTCCTAGTGGTTTCTTCTCTCTTTGAACTCTAGGGAGAAGATCCACAGTTGACTTTTCTGTCTTATGCATCTTGACTCACTGTGGAGCTTTTCTGTGGAAGCAAGGGCCCTTTCCTTGGCAGGGTGTCTCTGGAATGCTGTCCTCATTAGTGTGCCTCAGATGCGTAGATAACAATGGACAAGGGAAACCCTTACATTTCACAGTAGTTTGGCAGCCCTATGGGAATCCAAGAATTGTGGAAGTTTTATATTTGAAGGTCCTGTGCTTGTAGATTTCGTGTATTTTATGACCTGAAATGTATTTAAACAAGTGTAGGAAAGCCTTCACTGACCGCTGGCGCTCCTTTCTCTGAACTAGTGCTTTTTGTAGCTGCAGCTTGTATCTTAAAGTCACTTGTCAAAATATTTGGATGTTTTGACAGAGAGGTTTGTTTAGATTTACAGACACAGTGATAAGGATCAGAAACCGGCACAATGATGTCATTCCAACCATGGCCCAGGGTGTGACCGAATACAAGGAGAGCTTCGGGGTGGATCCTGTCACCAGTCAAAATGTCCAGTACTTTTTGGATCGATTCTACATGAGTCGCATTTCAATTAGAATGTTACTCAACCAGCACTGTAAGTGCCCCAAAATTGAAAGAAGTAGCTAGTTAATGTGAGTAGCGAAAGTGACCATTACTGCTATACAAAGAAGGCGTTTTATTGACTTTAAAATATCATCTTTACCCTTAAGGAAAATATTTGTCCTACTGTTGGTACCATTTAGAGAAACATTGTTTGGATATGGAAAGGAGTGTTAGGTAAATGTGCTTACTTTGTTTGGCTTTTCACTTTTGATAGCTTTATTGTTTGGTGGAAAAGGAAGTCCATCTTATCGAAAACACATTGGAAGCATAAATCCAAACTGCGATGTAGTCGAAGTCATTAAAGGTAAGTATATTTGTCCTTTCTTAGAAGGATGCAGAAATAATTAAAGGACTGAGTATTGTTCCTCCCTCTTAGAACTACTGCTTGTATCATGAGATAAAATGTAGGAATAAACATTAGATTTGGAAATCACTTCATGACATGAATTATGCAGTGTGTAAGGTAATGCCTTCCTGACAGAATCTCTATTAGTAAAGTTGGTTATATCAGTAAGTATATTTATCTGCTCTGCTTCAGAAAATTCAAATCTTCCCCCCATCCCTCCTGAAAAAGCCACTGAGATGCCTCAGTGTGTAAAGACACTTGCTTCGAAGCCTTAAAGCCTGACTTTGATCTCCAGAACTCCCTAGTTGTAAGGAGAAAACTAATTTTTGAAAGTTGCCCCTCTGACCTCCATTATGTGCCCCTTGGCATGCACATGCCCACAAATATTCACACATATCAGAAAATTAATGTAACAAAATATTCAGGTTCTGACTCTGGCCTTTCTAGGTCCTGGTTTTAGGAGTGAAAGTTCATTGCATTTTAATTTGCATCTTATCAAGCATTTTTTTTATTGACATCACATGCATATCCCTATATAAGTTGTTTTATGGTTTTTGTTTTTAAGTTTATGGGTGTTTTGCGTCCAGTACATCATGTGCATGCCTGGTGCTCTGGGAGGCCAGAAGAAGGCATGTGATCTTCTGGAACTAGAAATAAAAATGGTTATGAGCTGCCATGTGGATACTGGGGATTGGACCCAGGTCCTCTGCAAAATCAACCTTTGCTCTTTTTTCCCCCTTGACAGGGTTTCTCTGTGTATCCCCAACTTTCCTGGAACTCACTCTGTAGACCAGGCTGACCTGGAACTCAGAGATCCAACTGCTTCTGCCTCCTGAACGCTGGTTTTAAAGGCAAGCACCACCACACGTGGCTAGTAGCCTGTGTTCTTAACAGTTGAGTCATTTATTCAATCACAGTGTTTGTTGCTTTTTAAAAAATGGAGTGTTTCAGATATTTTGCTATAAACTCACAGCCATATGGACATAGCCCGCGTTTGAGTGGCTCTGTAAAATGTAATGCAGTGCTATAATCTATTATTTTTGTAATATATACTTAGGCTGTTTTCATTTTTTCCTTCCTGTAACTCACAGTATTTTAGTGAGCATCCTTACATATATAATGATTTGCAAGAATCTTAGACTTGCCAGGCATGGTGTTGCACACCCTTAATCCCAGCACTCAGGTATCAGAGGCACATGGATCTCTGTGAGTTCAGGGCTAGTCAGGGAATTTGAGATCAAACCAGGCACGGTTACACAGTAAGACCATTACCTCAACAACAACAATAATAATGAATCCTAGAATTAAAAACATTTTTATGCATTTACATTTTCAGTGTTTCCCCATAAAGAGATAGTAAAGGTGTCGATTTCTTAAACCTTTACCAACTGTTTTTGGGATGTCTCAGAAACAAATGTCTAATGTAAATATATATGTTTATATATTTAATGTATAAATAATCTCTTTAGTCTGCTGTTTTTCTTTTGCTTTGTTTACGGTATGTTTTTCCATACTGATATTTTAAAGTTTTTGTGGCCCTTTCTGTCATTATTTTCTCACAGCTCAAAGGGTTTTGTCACATAAAAGATTTTCCCCTCACTAAGATTGTTAAAGTATATTTTCTTCTGCAGAGAATTTTAAGTTTTCATTTGTCATTGCTGTTGGCCTCTTGTTGCATGAGACGGAAGTAAATTTATTTAATGCTTCTTTGTTTTGTTTGATTCACACTAGATGGCTATGAAAATGCTAGGCGGCTTTGTGATTTGTATTATGTTAACTCTCCTGAACTAGAACTTGAAGAACTAAATGGTAAGCCTGCCTGGTGGCGTCTGTCCTCAGTAATGGGTGTTCTGACGACCAAGGAGCAAGTTGAGGTTGGCTTGAACAGTAATGGACTCTTCCATCAGCTTCTTCACTGAGTGTGAATGCAGGAGACATGTGTGCATTGCACATCTACATTTATTACACAGTTAGTTTGATTCTTTGGACAGATGTTTTGGCATTTTATTTTTGCCCTATTTTAAACTGATAATTTTGATTTGTTGCTATTTTTTTCAGAGACAGTGAGAAAAAATAATAACAAAATTATATTTAATTTTTGTGTATACCTCATAGCAAAGTTGATCCTTTTTCTACTTCCTGAACTGTAAGTTGGTTTTTATTTTATTGTTGAAGTCAGAGGACTGGGCATGTGAAAGACAAAGGAAGCCTCTCATCTGTTTGAGAGTCCGTTTCTCTCTGATGGTCTCTCTACCCTGCCTTTGGAGAAAGGGTTCAGGGTTTTTGGAAGGAGACTGGTGATGGTAGTTTAACAAGGAAGCCTCTCCTTGGGGAGGTGATGGAGGAAATACATCTCAATAGGCTTTAAACTAAGCTGTGCTCTGGACCTCTGAGAGAGGAGCAGTGGCGTAGCTACTTAGTGGAGGTAGACATGCTTGTGGTTTCCTGCCACTCTGATTTTCTGATGGGTGCCACCCAATAAGGAAGAACCACATGGCACAGGTGAGAGTTTGGGAGCTTGTGCTGCATGGCCAGTTTCAAGGTATCCCATTCGTGTTTCCCAGTGGGAGGGTCCAGAAGAGAGTTTGGTTTATAGTCTAGTTACTTATTGGTCATAGTATTCTCCCAGAGGCCTGTGTTATATACACATACCCCTTGAGAAATGATGCAGGTTTTATTTTTTTAGCCCAGTGCTGTATCAGTAGAAATATCTGAAATAAAATAGACAGTGCTGACCCAGGTGAAACTTTTTTTCCCCTAAGATGTCCATCTTAGGAAGTATACTCCTACCTGAAGATTGAATTCTTTTAACATTTGCTGTCATAGAAAAGCATAGGAGGACGGGTGGCTCACCTCTTACATCAGATTGAGGAATAGCAGCAGGACTCTTGTCCTCATCATCTGTGAGTGTGAGTACAGGGCTCAAGGGCTCTGAGACAGTGAAGCAATGGTGTGAAAGTCCCCCACCTTCCCCAGTGCCGTCCTCCATAGCTAATGTTTTCTCCGCATCGCTCCAGTTTAGTCTTAAGAATGCTCTAAGCGCATCTCTCTGTACTTTCATATTTTTCTCTTCTGCTCTGTAGCGATCTCACCAGGACAGACAATACAAGTGGTTTATGTTCCATCCCATCTCTATCACATGGTGTTTGAACTGTTCAAGGTTTGTAACATAGTATTACATAACTCTTACCAGTCCTTCCCTGAGCTTAGGAATCTGTTCTAAGAACCATATTCCTGTGCACTTCCTGTGTCATTCAGATATGCATTTCATGTCAGTATCATGCCACTTAGCTGGAAATGGCCTGTGTCTATACAGATGGACAGATGGGTGCCTACATACAGAGGAATACACAGACCCTGGAGTCAGAGACCAGGATTGAGTCTTTGTTCTGTTGCTTAACATGTGACCTTGGGCAGATGATGTAGCCTCTCTGAACCTTAGTGTCCTCTTTGAAACTAGGGTGATATTCCCCAGGGAAACGTGTGAAGATTGGGAAAGGTGAACTGAGTGGCCATAATAGCATAGCATGCAATAGATGCTTAGTAAAATTACATTCATATTTTCATAGACCAAAATATTTAGAATAATAATTCCCAACTTTCTACCCTTGAGCCAGCCCCACTAATATTCCTTTGTTCTGTTTTTTTCCTTGGGAAGTTGTTTATATTGGACTTGGGGAACTGTTTATAACAGATTCAGAAAGCTTTCTGGTTATGTTGCGAATCATGTGCCCCCTCCCCCTTGTTAGTGGAAAGAAAGTGGTTGATTATTGCGCTTGGTTCCTGCAGCTGAAAATGACTATCCTAGATTAGGCCTGCACTGCCTCCTCCTTTAGTTGTGCAATCTCCAGCCAGCAAGAGATCAGAAGAGCAAGAGAGATGGCTATCTGTTGGGTAATGCAAAATAACAACAGGCTGGCTAGGTGTAGTGGCACACACCTGTAACTCCATAGTCCCAGGGCTTTTGAAGTGAGGCAGGAAGGGTGCAGTCAACAGGCCAGCCTGAGTTGCATAGCAAGACCCTGGCTGAAAATCCAAAAGAAAAAGAAAATAATAAGAAAGAACAACATACTAAAACATAGGAAGCTAAGAAAGTAAGGGTGGAAGAATACACTTTGTTTTGACAAATTAAGAATTCACCTAACACCTACAGAAATCCATCAGTGGCTAAAACAGTTGGCCCTTAACATGTTAGGACCATGTTTTTCCCTTGAAATTTCAGTTGTGTAAAGAGTCTACCCTATGATACTTAAAACTTTATATAAGCTGTGACATATTTATATAATGCCCATGACAGTGGCTTTTGTCTGGAACCTAGTATTAAACTGATTGGTGGAAACAGTGCAGTCTCCTCTCCTCAGGTCTGCTCAGTTCTCAGCGGCCAGGGCTCTCACTCTCAATTCCATATTCAGTCGAAACTTCCTCTGGCCTTTATCTGTTTTTCTTCAGCACCATGTGTCCTGTTACTATACCATGCTTAGACAGTGCTGGCCTTCTGTGCCTCAGCATCTTTTAGAAAACTGGTCAAAACATTTTATGGTGTAAATTCCTTTACTTTCAAACCAATGACAAAGAAAACTTAAAATTTAAATAATGTTCATATGTTGCAAAAATATAAGTACCTGGTTGATTTTTAAGAAGCTGTATTTTAACGTAACCCTAATGTATTTCAGAATGCAATGCGGGCAACCATGGAGCATCATGCCGACAAAGGCGTCTATCCCCCGATTCACGTTCATGTCACGCTGGGCGAGGAGGATTTGACTGTGAAGGTAATTTTTTTTAATGGATATGTAGGCCTGCAAAAAATAATGTAAGTCTAATTTCTATAATACATAATTTATTCTCAAGGGAAAGAATTTCAGTCCACTAGATAATAAGTACTTTACTTTGTTTATCTGGCAAATTATTGAATTATCTTCTGAGTCTGTTTCTATTCTGGTCCTTAATCCAGGTGATTCAGGCTGAAGGAACACCCGGAGACAGATTTTGATGAGAGGAATCTCAAATGCTTGGGCACTGTCAGCATGATGGAGAAAGTTAATCTCACTTCCGTTTTAAGCAGTACTTTCTGTCTGCTTTGTGTCACTTCATCACAGTTTCCCAGAAGCACATGTGATTTTAGCTTGGTTTCGTAGTTGTGGAAACTTAAGGGTCAGAGATGAGTTTAAGCTCACACGGGGAATAAAAGCTGCAGGCTGTGAGATCCTGCCCTCTGGCCCACTGCTCGGCCTTCCTGCCTCCCTGCTTTGATAGCACAGTTTGCTTAGATTAATTGTGCTTCATTTTAAACCATCAGGTGACATACAGAGCCGTTTGTGCATGCTGCTCGAAGTTTGTCTTAGTAGTTCTGTGCTTAATGCATTTCTGAGGAGTGTTCTGGCATTGCTAGTTCTGAGGATTTTACACTGTAAATAGCATGCAGTGGCTTCCTGTGATGGTTGGTAGAGACCTTAGCTCTCCTGAATGTAGCAATGGAACATGTGTGCCTTTCCTACCCAGCCCCAAGTGCCAGTTGACAGGATTACCAGGTACCTGCAACCTGCAATTCCATGTATGAAACCAACACTGAGAAAACAATGCAAACAGTTACCTTCAGATTTATCATCCAAATATCACCCAGGTGCCCTTCACATCTATCCTTAAAATGGAATCTCTTAGGGCAAGACTCAGCCTGAAAAACCACTGTTTACCAAGCGTGTAGTAACTGAGTGCAGAGTGCAGACTGGTCTCAGTCAGCTGGGGTGGAGATCTTAGGCCTTCTATAGGCTTTCCTGGATGGGAGCATAACTCTCAGAGTTTGGCCTTCTAGGTTCTCATGGTTGAGCTTTTCAAGACCTCGTGGCCATCTTATTCCCTCAGTGTTCTTCTAAACTCTTTGGTTAGCCTGTTACTTGTTCTAGCTTGCCCATGTCCTCAGAGCCTTCAGAGTATTCTTAGGTCCAATGGGACCTAAGACTTCATAGTGGCAGGGTAGTGGTGACTCAGTCAGAACAAGTAAAGGCTATCTGTGGCTAGTTTCATACTACTGGCCTTTCAGTGGGGTGGGGGCTGAGAGCAGGGCTGGATGAGAATAAGTGTTTTCTTGAACAAGCTTTTCTCCTTTGGTTCATCTTCAGGCTCCTGATCTGACAGAGTGACCCTTTTTCTTTTTTCTTGGTGCTGTGTTGGAAGAATGACTTTAGGGTCTGTCCTTTGCTGGTGACATCCAGGTTATCCCTTCTAGAACAACCTGAGGTTCAGAAGGTTTGTTGCAGTTCCCTCTTTCTTTGTATGTTGGTTTTAGGGATCTGGTTTTGTTTTAACTGAAGTCCCTACCTAGATCTCTTTTCTGGATTGTGTTCTGGAATTCTCTGTGATAAGAGTCAGTGTGGACCTTTGTTTTCCCTGGGATCTCTGAACTCATTTGTCTTATTTTCTTCCCCTGTTGCTGTGATAAAATCTCCTGGGAAAGGCAACTTGAAAGAGAAAGGGTTAGCTCTGACTCATAGTCAGAGGGTACAGTCCATCGTACTGGGGAAGGGATGGCAGAGGAGCTACTGGTGATGGCCACATCACATCCATCATCAGGAAATGGCTGCACTCAGTTAGCCTTTTCCTTTGGAGGCCAGCTCAAGACCAGGGAGTGGTGCTAGTCACGGTTTGGATGGGTTTTTATACTCGGTTATCTTAAGATAATCTCTTGTAGGCATTCAAAAATAATCTAATCTAATCTCCCAGAGCAAGACTAGAAGTACCTAATTTAGCTCTTACCCCCCCCCCCAGCATGAGTAGGAGTACCTAGTCTAGATACCCCCACAGGCATGCCCAGAGACTGTCTCACAGGTGAGTCTAGGTCCTATTGGGTTGATACTCAATATTAAACATCATCCCCCTGTTTCCTTGGGAATCTGTTCTCTCCTCCAGGCAGTGTGGGTTCTAGGATTGAAATCAGATCAGCAGGCTTGACAGCAGCGCCTTTATCCACTGAGCCATCTCACCAGTCCCTTCTCCTGCTACAGACTCCCTGCTCTCCTACTGAATTTTTATTTCCAGGATCTCTTAGATTTTTTAAGGAACTATTGTTATTATTTTTTTTCTTCATTTATTCCTTATCACAGTATTCTGTTCTGGTTTCTTTGTCACCCAAAGGTAGTAATTACCATTATTTATTTAAAATTACAATTTTTATTTACTTATTATTCTTTCTCTGCTCCATATACTGTCTCCTGTGGGATTTTTGTTTGGCTTTATTAGCTATTTATTCATGAATATATAACAATTTGGTGTATTTGCTTTAAGAATTGTGTGAAATGTGTATACTAAAATCGTTTTCAGGTTGTATATTTTATTTTATGTGCATGGATGTTTTGTTTGCATGTGTGTTTCTGTGCCTGGTGCCCTCAGGGTTCAGAAGAGGTTGCTGCATCCCCTGGAACTAGAATTGTGAATAATTGTGAACCACAGTGTGGTTCCAAACCTAGGTCTTCTATAAGAGTACTCAGTGCTCTTAACAGTAAAGCCATATCCAGCTTCAATTTTAAAATAAACAAACCAGAGTCAGGAAGGGTTCCTTTCTCTGGGCCTGGATTCATATGAATTTGCTCAGAGAGTCAGTGTTGGGTAACAGGAAAGCAGGGAGGGGTGGGGTGGTGGGTGGAGTAGGGTGGCAGCTCAAGGCTAGATGCTTTGAGAAGTGTCGGTTTGCACTGAAGGTAAGCCTTCCTCTCAACACCTCTTATCTCTCTCATGATCTTTTCTTGGCACAGGCTCAGGTTCATGTTTGTGTCAAACAGTGCCATCTTGTCCTGTTTTCACATCTTTCTCAGTGTAGTTGATTCCAGAATGTTATTCCTCTTGCCTAGGACCCACCTCCCCAGCCAGGCGTTGGTGGCCCACGCCTTTAATTCCAGCACTTGGGAGGCAGAGGCAGGCTGATCTCTGTGAGTTCAAGGCTAGCCTGGTCTACAGAGTGAGTTCCAGGACAGGCTCCAAAGCAATACAGAGAAACCCTGTCTTGAAAAACCAACAAACAAAACACAACAAAACAAAAAAGATCCATCTCTCTCTCCACCATCCCTCTTTCCCTTTCCCTGAAGGACTCCGATCTTTTGGTACTTTATGTACTTTATATAATCCACCAATTGTTTGCCTCGTTGGTTGCAAAGCAAAGGTTGTTCAGGCCTCACCACCTACCCTGGTTTAGATTTCCTGTCAACCTCTAGTAATATGCTGCTTCTCATAGTCCTACAGTCTCTTCTGCTCAGCTCACACACATGCTTTCCTCAGATGGCCAGGAATCGTTTCTTGTTTTGTACATGCCATGTAGTGTGGTCTGTTTGGCTAGAAAGTCTTTGCTAGAAGAAAAGAAATTCAGGAAACATTCATTCAAAACTACCTTTTAATGTTGTGTGTGCGTGCTCATGCATGCATGTGCATGTGCATGTGTGTGTGTGGGGGGGGTGTAAGTTGAGTGCAGGTGTGCTTATTTGATGGACAGAGGATGGCTTTGGGTGTCAGTCCTCACTTTATCTCTTGTATGAGACAGGGTCTCTCTGTTTTTGCTCCTGTGTGAGCCGGGCTAGCCAGCCTGCAGTAGTCCTGGCTCTGCTTCCTGCCTTGCTGCAGAAGAACAGGGATTACATGCACAGGGATCATGTGCCACTGTGCTTTGTGCAGATTCTGGGGACTTAAACTCAGCCTCTCGTGCTTGGTACATCGAATGCTTCACCCACTGAGCTATCTCTGTAGTTCCCCATTAGTCTTTATTGTTATTGTTATTACTATTCTATTTTTAGATTTATTTTATATGTGTTTTGCCTGCATATATATCTGTGTACTACATGTGTGCCTGGTGCCCCTGGATATCAAGAGAGGGTACTGGATCCCCTGATATTTTAGTATGGATGGTTGTGAGCTATCATGTGTGTACTAGGAACTAAACTGGGGTCCTCTGCAAAATCCTTTCTGTGGCACGTCACCTGTCTTGCCCATTTTGATGTCTGTTGTGATGTACCACTCACTCAGGGTTTTCAGGACACCCACAGGACACCAGTGAAGGACAGCTAGACATTGAATTAGCCTCTGAAAATAATACTCATCCCACAGCTCTTTTGTTTTGTTTGTTTTTGGAGAATGTTTATAGAAAATTAGCATATAGGCTAGGAAAATAGCCCATATTAATTATAAAGGAAAACAGTAAACGTAATGTGTATGTTAATTACTAATTCAATTTACAGTATGGTTGCTTGACTGGAAAAATGATGTGATAGTACTAGGATCTGTCCTTTAGCTCACTGGATGTTGTCTGGGATTCTGTGTCACAGATTTGTATTTATTTATTTGTGTCGCATGTTGAGCACACAGGTGTGGAGGTCAGAGGACAACTTGCAGGAGGTGATTCTCCTTCCACCATGTGCATCCAGGGTTGAACTCAGGCCATCGACCCCCTGGGCCGTCTCACTGGCCCTTACTTTTATCTTTTTGAGATAGGGTGTCACGGTATATGCTGCCCTCTACTTGTGGCACTCCTTCTGCCTCAGGCCCCCACATGCTGAGATTGCAGGTGTAGCAACACGGTCAGTGTCTTTAAAAAAAATATTTTCATGTATGTGTGTGTTTACGGATTATGTGCACATGAGTGCCATGTCCGTGGAGACCAGAAGTAGATGCTGGATTCCCCGGAACTGGCGTTATTGATGGTTTATAACCACCATGTAGGAGCTGGGAATCAAACAAGTCCTCTGGAAGAGCAGTCAGTCCTTTTAACTGTGAAATCATCTCCCCAGCCCATTTCAAACTTCTCTTTATAATACATTTACAAAATTAGATTAGAATTATGAACATTTCTAACTTGTTCCTTGTTGTCCCCCCCCCCTTTTTTTTTTTTTTTTGGTAGAAGATCTTTCTGGCGAATACATAGAATTCTACATATTTAAACAACTACATAGTATTTTGTTTAAAATGTACTTTATGTAGTCCCTTGTGTGTGTTACTCTCTGATTTTTCTTAAAACGATGATGGATACTGTCATGGATACTTTGCATGCTTTAGTTTCTTAGGATAAACCTTAGGAGGTGGCATTGCTGTATTGTGTGTCCTTGCTTTTTATATTTATTTTTATCCTGACTATCATATTGCCCACCAGGAAGGATTAACTTTGTCTTAGCTACACTGTTGAGGGCAGTGTTTGTGTTTGTAGCCTGGACTGCAGCGTTCTTTCCAAAGCAGTTCAGTCATGATGCTGTAATGTGTGGCGCTCGGTCACAGTGTGGTCTTTTTCCTCTTAGATGAGTGACCGGGGAGGTGGTGTTCCCCTGAGGAAGATTGACAGACTCTTCAACTACATGTACTCAACTGCACCCCGGCCTCGTGTTGAGACGTCCCGTGCAGTGCCCCTGGTATGTGATGCAGAAAGGCCGGTGTCTGTCAACCATCAGACTGTGGAGTTCCCAAAGCTAGTTAAGCCAATTTCACAGGAGCTCCGAGGGAAGGAAAACGCTTTGAAACTTTAGAGACAAACACTTCTGTCTAAATTTAAGCAGCCCTGGCATTAGTTTTTAATTAAAATAGGCACAAGACAGATTATAGTTTGAGAATTTTTTCCTACTACTCTTGGTAGTGACCTCCTCCCTGCAGTTTTCTGTGTGGTAAACCATATGTGACAGTCTATTTTAATATGAAGACTAAGCTAGGAACAGTAGCAGTAACTGGTCATTATTGCCTTAATTTTTAATATTGATGTTTTCCCCTCAAGTATTTGTGTTTAAAAAGACATCACTGTGTAGACTCAACTGAGATTCTGATCTCTTTGTGATTTATTTGAGGCATGGTCTTACTATGAAACACAGGCTGTTCACAGCCACCTACACGTCTTTGCCTCCAGTGTTCTGGGATTAAAGGCATATGCCAACATGCCTACCCAGCTTTTTACATTTTTTAAAAATTTGTTTTTTATGATTGTTTGTATATTAGTATTTAGGTTGCATGTATGTAAGCGCACCACATCTGTGGTATCTACAGATGCCAGAAAGGGTGTTGAATGCCCTGCAACTGGAGTTATACATGGCTATTAGTCACTATGTGAGTGCTGGGAACCAAACCTGGATCACCCTTAACTGCCGAGCTACCTCCCCAGCCTCCAGGCTTTGATCTTTTAAATTCACCTGTCTGAATCTCAAGCTATGGCTGTGTAGGTGCTGTTTACTCTCAGAGGAACCCCCCCCCCCCACCAACAAAGCACCCTAACAGGGAAGAAGCAGGAATGACTGCCTCGACTTCCCCTTCCATCCTGCTGGCTCCCAGCACAGGTCCCTCTGAGAGCTGAAAACACAGAAACAGCTCAGCCCTGGGGTGGGGGGAGCTGGAAATTGTAGTTGATTTGGAAGGACACACAGAAACAGTTTAGAATATAAAATGGTTAGTACTTGTGGGATGGCTCAGTGGGAAACATGCTTGCCTTACTATCCGCCCCCCACCACAATGTCATCATTTGATCCTCAGATCCCATGTGGCAGGAGAGAACCAACACATATAACATTACATGTGCATGCATGCTTGCACTCAAAGACACACAAGTAATAGTAGATAGAAAATAATCAGTGGGAGAAGAAGCCTCTGCATGTTATTTTTGCGGGACTCTTCACACAAACACTGAATAACATGCTGCGGGGAACACCACCACGGACATGTTTTTTACCCTGAGCCAGGTGTTTGTGGAGTTATGTGAGTAAAGGTACTGGAAGTGGTGAAACAAAGCCTCAGAAGCCTTGTGTTTCAGGAACTCAGGGAAGGAGGTTTGTTCTGCTAGGTAGGAGAGCCAGCAGGAGGCAGAAACCTGCTTTTGTCTGGGAAGCTGTCCAGAAGCTTGGCTTTTGTCCCTAGGGCAGGGAGTCGGGTGTGGAAGACTTTGGAGCAGGGAGGTGATCTGTGAGAATGAAGAGAGTGGACTGTTACAGATTATATCCAGGATCAGAACAAAGGCTGGGTATCCATGGTGTCAAGTCCTGAGATTCCTGTCTATTGCTAGTAAAGCTGCTACAAGGTGTTTTCTAGTCTTGCTCCTAAACAAAACAGTGTGCTTTTTATGGAATTGCCAAGAGCTGTCTTGGCAAACCCTGGAGCATGACAGCAAAGAAAAGCAATATGCCTTCTCCAGACTACCCCAGTTATTTTATAGATAGAGTAAAGGGCTTTAGGTCCAGAATTGGTGCACTAATGGGCTCAGCCTGACTCCATCTTAATCCTTGAGCATGATTGTGTTTTATGAGCTCTCTCGGACGCTGATGCAGTATTTCATAGCATTGCCTTAGAAAAGTGTTTCAGGATGTGGGTCTCTGAATCAAACTTTGTTTTCTCATTGCACAGGCTGGTTTTGGTTATGGATTGCCCATATCACGCCTCTATGCACAGTACTTCCAGGGGGACCTAAAGCTGTACTCCTTGGAGGGCTATGGGACTGATGCTGTTATTTATATTAAGGTAATAATGGAAGCTTCCCAATTTAACTGTATTAAAATATATTTTTTCTGTTTTTACATGTATGTCTGTGTACAGTGAATGTGCCTGGTACCCTTACAGACCAGAAGTAGGCATAGGACCCCCTGGGACTGGAGTTACAGACAGTTGTGTGCCACTGTGTGGGAACTGAACCTGGGTCCTCTGGGAGAGCAGCCATCTCTCCAGCCCCCATTTTTTTTTTTTTTAATGGTAAGAACCAATGAGAAAGTATAATGGGATTTTAGTAAACCTCATGCTATTTAATAAATGAAGTGATACTTACATGGGAATGCACCCATTTTGATAGTTGGGAGCAGTGGGGAAAGAAAGATTAGGCTAAGGTAGAGAATCCCAAGGGTACGGGGTAGACCTGGATTCACCCAAAGCACTGTTTAAAAAAAAAAAAAGTGAATTTAGTTTTCATGTGAAGCACATGGCCAGCCATCGATCGGCTCTTTAAAAAGAAACAAAAACCCACCTTTGTTTACCATGTGTGTTCGTGGGTGTGCACATGCATGGTTGTCAGAGAACAGCTTTGCAGGATTAGTTCTTTCCTTTTACCATGTGGGTTCTGGAGACTGACCATGGTCATCAGGCCTGGTGACCACCACCTTTAACTGCTCAGCCATCTAGCCAGAATAATAACACCCAGCCTTTGCGTGTGTGTGAGCTCATGGCCTTCCACATGTTAGGCTAGTGCTCCCCAACTGCCAGTAAGTAATTATTCTTTTTCTAAAAAACAAAATATGTGTATGAGTGTTTTGCCTGCATGTATGTGTACCACATATGTGCCTGGAGAAGACAGTATCAGACGCCCTGAAATGGTAGTTACAGATATTTGTGAGCCACCATGTAGGTGCTAGGAATAAAACCCAGGACTTCTGTGAGAGAAGCAAATGCTTTTAACTGCTGAGCCTTCTCCCCAGCTACCTAAAGTTGTTCTTTTAAAACTATGGATTTATTCATTTAGAATGTGTGGTGTGTGGCTTGCATGTGTAGAGGTCAGAGGGCAGTGCTGGAGTTCAGGTCTTTAGGCTTGATAGCAAGCATCTTTACCTGCTTGAGCCATAAATAAATGTAATATTTTCAAAGCACTGGTTACATGGTTGGTGCTCTAGTTTCTTGTTCTGGCCACTAGATGGCACCGATTTTATAGGCTATGCTCAAGAATTTTGTGGAAAAAAAAAGTTGGCCTGAAAAGATTAAATTCTTTATAGCCATGTTTTTATTTTTAACATGTTATTGTGAGGAACTTAAATATGACAACATCAGTGCAGTATTTTCAGCACTAATATAACATTTTTATATATGTTTAGACTACTTAGAGCACACAGGTAGAAGTTTCTTCTGTTTGGGAAAAGCTAGAATACAAGCATCCAGAACTGCTGGTGCTGGATTGCCAACATCTTGGGGAATACCAGTGACTTTTTGTTGAAATTCTGAAAATTCCTACTGTGAAGGCAGTAATTGGAAGTGTAGTTATCCCTGGTTTCTGTTGTCTACAGGAAGTTGTAGAGCATTGAATGAATGGTTGTGTACAGGGAACAGAAATACATGTTCAGTGACCACAACTGACTGTAATGGCAGGAGAAGACAGCACAGTATTTGGACTGGGATGTTGTTCAGTGACAAGAAAGACTCTGTGTTTAGTCTTCAGCCTCGGGTACTGGGAGGGGACAAACAGGACCAAGCACCATTCATGTAAAAGCCAAGAAGTCTTAGATTTCGCTTGATTTTTTTTTTTATGTTAATATTGGTGTTCAGTTTTTAATTTTTAAAAATGATTATTTTATATGTATGAGTGTTTTGCCTACATGTATGTCTGAGTACTACATGCCTTCCTGATGTATGTGGAGCTCAGAAGAGCTCATCAGGTGTTTTGGACTGGAGTCAGAGATAGTAGTGAGTGAGCTACCATGTGGGTGCTGGGAACTGAATCCGGGTCCTCTACAAAAACAAGGGCTCTTAACCACTGAGCCATCTCCTTCCCTGTGCGTTAACATTTTTAATAGCACATTACTATATAGTGAAGAAGATTGGGTTTCTTCTCATTAAATCTGTATACATTTTTATGCTCTTACACTTAGCCAGCTTTTTAAAGTAGTTGTTCCTGGCTGGGCGTGCATTTTGTAGGAGGTGTCTGTTCTACCTTGGAAGATGTTTCCAGGCTGGCTAGGGAATGGTAAAGCGTCAAATCCAGTCACTGTGTTATTGGTGCCACAGATATAGTAAATAGCATGTTTCAAATATGTCCACTCTGAAGACGGTGTGCGATTAGTAATTAATTGGTACGATCCCAGTAGAATGTTGTTTACCTGTAGTCGTTGTTAACCATTGTATATTGTCTCAGACAGTGAATTCTTAAAAATGCCCAACTTAGAGGACTTCTTTTCAACCCCAGGCTCTGTCAACAGAATCCATCGAGAGACTCCCTGTGTATAATAAAGCTGCCTGGAAGCATTACAAAACAAACCATGAGGCTGACGACTGGTGTGTTCCCAGCAGAGAGCCCAAAGACATGACCACATTCCGAAGCTCTTAAATGGACATAGGACGTCTGGAACATCCAAATGTGGTTTTTGGAAGAGATGTGTTTGGAGCCACATTGTACCAAATATGTTATTTGTGATTTTCACAATTCATGTCGCTAAAACTCCTAAAGGATCAAGTATACCAGCTTTATTCTGATGTGTTTGGTTAATTGGACATATTTTTAAACACTCATAGTATCAATTTCCCTCTGTGTGGTAGACTTATGGAGTGCGAAGTCTGGGTTTCTGGAGGAAGTTGAATATTGATTTTCAAATTTTCATTTATGCCTGCAAGAAACAAAGACTGCAGAGTAGCTGGTAAGTGGCCCACTTTTGGAGTTCTTGTTACCTGTTGGTGGTAACAGCTAATTAAATGGTTTTCTCATCTTCCACGAACACAGAACACAGTGGTACCAGTAGGACCTTTCATGCATTGTCTACTGAAATAAATTGATCATGGCATCGTTTTATTACAGAGGATTGTAATGTCTGATTTCCCGAAGGTAGTGTGCTCAGGATCAATGCAAGGGATTTTCTTTAAGAACAATGTCTCTATGTAGCCCTCGCTGGCCTTGAACTCAACGCCCATCCTTAGCATCTGGAGAAGGGTGTGTCTGGTGCATAAGAGAAATGTGTATGCCCAAACAAGCAAAGTAGCAGCAGAGAATGAACTAGAACAAAGCTCTCAGTGCACCTGGCTGAACCGAATGACTGTTGAGATTATCTGATGGAGCTTTTGAAAGAATTTATTTGTTTTTCTGGGTCCTCCTCCAGGCATCCAGAGGCGGAAGGCCAGGGATGAGTTTCTCAAACTAGGTGAGACTCATAGTTGGCCTGGCTGAAATCACTCTTCAGTGAATAGTGACACCACTGCTGTTGACAAAGTGACAGACTGGATTGGTTTTCCTGTTTCCAGGTCAGATTGCTAGACCTTAGGGAACATAATCTAAATCTCCGGTCAGGTTCAATTGAAAGCAGAGTCAGGAACAGAGAGACTAGGGTTACCTTAGTCATCTTGGTTTTAAGTGGTAACTAAAGACATGACTTTTTTAAAATTATACATATATATTTAAGACAAAAGCCAAATCATGCAATGTGGCACAAAATAGAATTCTTGTACCAAATGATAGAAACATGTAGGTTGAGGATGCCCCAGGGTGGTCAGTCCAGGACCCTCATGTGAGAGGTGAGGGGCCTGAAACTCAGGTCCAATCGGCCAGGGCTTTCAGCTAACTCGACCAAATGTTGGGAAAGACACACCTTATACCTGCTGTTCCTAATTGAGAACTTTGTAAGAAATAATAGACTGTGTTCATGAGTGACTTTTATTCCCTGTATTACACTTAATTAGCTTTAAATTACATTTTCTTGCAATGATGAAATATTTTGGAATCTTTTGTACAACTGTTAATAAATGTACTATTTTTACTTGTGAAATACTTTTCCCTCTCCAAGGAGTTAAAAGGTCCTCCCTCCCCCATTTAAGAGCTAAGAAATGTTTTCAGACAAGAAGTAAAATTATTTTACTTCAGTCTCTTGTTAAGGTGTAGCACCTTCTGCTTTGTTATCATGGTAACAGATGGACAATTGTGTGCGAAAATGGGGGTGGCTTTTTCAGAGCTTTTAAAGATATCTAAAAAGGTTTTTAGATTCTAAAGGTGAGCTGGCTGGTCTGTCAGCAGTTATTCTATGTGATATAGCTATAAAATAGATTGCTGGTCAGGGAGTTAATGACTATGCCAGTGCATTGCAAGAAAGGGATTGTAAGAATATTCCATGCTGCAGTTTAAAGTGTTAGTTGGTTTTGATGCCTTTACACTTTATAATGGTCAGTGTCTTCCCCTGTGAAGTTTCTACATGGAGATATTGAAGCAGAATTCTACCATAGTATAAGATGTTTTTTCAGTGACAGTAACTGAAAACATGGATCAGCTCTTCTCAGATAAACTTGAGTCATTTACGGAAGTTTAGAAATGTACTCATGTCTTTTAAAGAGCAATTCATCTTACCATCAACATTCTATAAACATTCAAGAAACTGTAAGTAGGTGCCAGCAGGTAAAAGCAATGGCCACCAAGCCTGGCAACCTAGTTCTTTCCTCAGAACACACATGATGGAAGGAAAGAAGCAACTACGCCATGAGTTGTCTTCAGACCTCCACACATGCAATGGCACATGGGATTCCCCACACGTACCACACAAAATAATGCAAACGAAACTTCATTTGTAGCTAGGTGTCTTGCACTCTCTAACTCTCTAATAGAGGTGTTTAAGGCAGGTTTCCAGTGTGTATAGTCTAATGGGGAAGCAGATAGCTGAGTTTGTGTGGTTTGAGTTACCCTAGATTTTCATTATCTAATGATACTGCCAATGATTGACATGTACTACATAGATGGAGACCTGATGTATAATTTTGAAAAACTCTATAAATAATTCTGGGTAACTTTGCACAGTAGAAATAATTATAGGAAGGGGCTTGACTTAACCAGCACTACCTTCTACTTAATGCTAATGGAGTTTCTGAATTTTTATAGTCAAGACAGATCTGCATCCTATTTCCTCATTGATAGCATAAAAGCCCCACATCTAACTCTTGACTGTTAAATTCAGTAAGGTGGCATGCCTGTAAGTAAATCTCTTGAGTTTGAGGCAGCCTGGTCAGCACAGGGAGTTTTGGGCCAGCCAGGGCTGCATGGTCCCTGTGGTTTTTGTTTGTTTTAAAACCAATAAAGTTCATAACAATTACAGAGGGAAGGGGAAGAGTTTGTGTGGCTCGGTGAATGGTTAATTGGGGAGGAACCCCAGCCAGTAAACTTCTAAGTTCATGTCATTAGTTTCACAAAGAAATGTGAAACTTCAGAGGATAGGTTGGCCAGGGTTAAACTTGGTTGTTTTTATTGAAGGAACTACTCATGATAGCTGATCAACTTCTGGTCTTAATACTATTAATTTTCTCACTCAAAAAGTAATACAACTAATACTTTGTGAAGTTATTTTTTCATGTCAGAAATGAATGCATTCCTATTTTACTTAGTCCTGGCATTTGTAAACTACTGTGTCATTAGTTCTACTTTTGTGTTTGGAAAGGATTAAACATTTTATTACCCACTTTTTTTTCTGTAGTCTTCATATTTCTTTAGCAAATTTTAATCATAGATTTGAATAGAAAAAGGCCAGGTTGTCGATTTTGTTGGCCTCCTAAAGCTTTTACTTGGATTTAAGCCCTAGTGCCACATAGGTGATATATGCTGGTAATCCAGGAGTGCATGCCTACAATCTCTGGCTTACAGGGGAGATAGAAGCTAAAAGATTGGAAGTTCAAGGTCACCCTTGGCTACATAATGAATTCCAAGTCAATCTGGGATATTTGAGACCCTGTCTCAAAAGAAGAAGGAAAAAGAAGCTGTTACCTTATATGGGAATAACTTAGTGAACAGTGACAACTGTCCTTTTACATCGGTAAGTTAGAGAGTTTTACCTTAGGAATGGATGCTCAGGAATTATTTTCCAAGATTCTGGAAGTACCTGCAGTTGTTACAGGGTACAATGGATAGATTTTTTAGCTGTGACCAAAATAATGCCACTTGCTATTCAGAAGTTTTAGAAATGTTGAAACGTTCCTTTAAAATACTATATGAAAAGAAAAATCAAAATTAAATAAAAAAAATAGTATATGAGCAGTACGTTTTGATTTAACTCAAACCTAAAAAGGTCCAGTATTCTCTATGGTTTTGTTCTAGGTGACTGAGATGAATGCTCTAATGACATTCTTCCTATACAAGTGCATAGGAAGAATTTAGCAGCTAGTGTACTGGGTGTAACTACAGCACTGGATGAAGTTATTTTTGCAAAAATTATTTTTAAAATGGAGGTAGTATTACACTATATCTGAAATAGAATGGAAGAAGCAAGCAGTTTTGTTTTTCCTATTACAATATAAAAACAACTGGTTTAATATGAACTGGCCAAGCACTATAGGTGCTTACATCTGCCAAATGTGTAATGATGATGTGTTTAATAGCACCTTCCTTTCTCAGTAATCCCTTAAAATGAGCCAGGAAGCAGAGCAAACAGTGGATGGTTGCCAACATGAGGCAAAGATAAAATATAAGGATGGAAAGAGTAGTGGACAGTGCTGTGAAGATGTTTCCAAAGTACAAAAGAAGCACACACTCACTGGGCAGAAATGTAGGTATAAATACTGTTCTGCTAGTAACGCCAAGGATGACGTTTAGGGTCACTTCTTGAATAGCATGTACTTGAGACTCGACAAGTTGAAGGTTAGTCACATTCCACTTGCATATGATGCTCAGGAGGATCAGCCAATTAGACATCTCAGGCCTATTGTCCTGTTGCTGGACATGGGGGATATTAGAGTTTTAATTCCTGCAAAGGCAGGAATTGGGTGTGTTAGTATGCAAAGGTGCTAAGACTTCTTTGTTAGAACGGACTCATGTGGAGGAGAGGATGGAGAGAGTGTAAGTGGGAACACCTGAGTTTGGATCCCAGCACCCAACCTTTAAGAAAGAAAAGCTGTGTATCCCAGTGCACCCCTGGAGTCCTCGTGCTGAGGGAAGAGATGCAGGAGGATCCCTGGGGCGGACACAGTGGGAGAGCTCTAGGTTCAGTGAGAGGCCATCTCAGGAAACAAAATGGACCTTCTAGAGCAGCGGTTCTCAACCTTCCTAATGCAACCCTTTAATACAGTTCCTGTGGTGACCCCAACCATACAATTATTTCATCGCTACTTCATAACTGTAATTCTGCTACTGTGGGGAATGTAAATATCTGATATATAACCCCAAAGGGGTCATAACCCACAGGTTGAGAACCTCTGTGATACAGGAGGATACTCTGGCACCTATATATGTACATGCACAAGTGAGCATACGCACATACACGCACACACTACACATACATTCTTATGCAGTCACATCACACGTAGTTTTACTCTGTATCCCCAAACCTCAAAGGAGGTACTGAAAGCTTGTCTTGGGGGGAGGGGCTCACATATTTCAAGGGGGTGTGAGGGGGTGGGGGGTGAGGGGGGATGGAGGTAAGGGGGAGTGTGGGTGTCACAGAGGCAAGCAGATCTCTGTGAGTCCAAGGCCAGCCTGGTCTACAGAGTGAGTGTCAGGACAGGCAGGGCTGTTACACAGAGAAACCCTGTCTCTAACCCCCGAGTAAAAATTGGGTAAGTGACATGGTTCTTTCCCAAGCCACTGCTGCTCATGTATTTTGAGCCAGATGAGCATATAGCTTCAGCATGCCTCCATTTGCTGGCCATTCCTGGACCTGTGTCAAACTCAGGTTACCCCAAGACATAGTGGCAATGGTGAATCCCAAACTGACTGTAAGAATGAGGTTGGCCCAAGTCAGCGTGCACAAGTGGCCCGTCCTAGGGAAACAAAGAGATCTGGAGGACCCAGCAGGCACCAGGGGATGGGGAGCAACCAGAGATCAGAGACTGACAGGTGGCATCTGGAGGCTGAAACTTACCCGTTGTTCAGGATATAATCTTATTAAGAATTTCTAATTTGTTTTGAAGTCTATAATATATCATTACGGACTGTGGTCACCCTGTGGCATAGTGTAGGAGCACTTTTCCCTCCTGTCCATGTTTTACCTCATCACCAACCTCTCTCTGTCCTTTCTTGCCTCCGATAACCTCAGTTTCATGCTCTCAGATCAACCTATTGAGCATCTATAGGTGAGTGCGATTGTGGATTGTGAGGTGCTCGTCTCTCTGTTCCCAGTTCACATGTCCCCAGGCCCATCTGTGTTACCACACATGATAAGATTTTGATATTTTGTAATTTTGTGATTTATTTTTATGTGCATGGATGTTTTACCTGCCTACATTGTCAGTGCACCATGTGCATGTAAAGTCTACAGAGACCAGAAGGGAGCATCAGACACCCTGGATATAGAGTTATAGATGACTGTGAGTCACCAGGGGCATGCTGGGAATCAAGCCTAGGTCCTTTGGAAGACTAGCCAGTGCCATCTCTCCAGCTCCTGTGAATTTCAATATTTTTAATGGCTGAAGGTTATTCCATTGTATATATGCTATATTTTCTTTTATCTGTTTATAACTGATGAGTACCTAAGTTAATTTCACATTCTGGAAGGAACAGTATGTGGAAAAGGAGCTATATTTGGTGTTAGCTTGTTTTACCTGATAGGAGATGTCATTCTGTAAATATGTTTCTCTTATTGGTTAATGAATAAAGCACTGTTGGCCAATAGGAAAGCAAGATAGGCGGGACTAGGAGACAAGGAGAAAGGAAGTAGTAAGGAGGAGATTCAACATGGAGGACTGAAAGAGCAGAACTCGGGACCCTCTCTCCGGTAAGATAAGACCACGTGGAAATACTTAGATTGATAGAAATGGGCTAATATTTAAGACAGAGCCAGCCAATAAGAAATGCTAGTAACAGGCCAACAGCGTTATATCAAATACAGCGTTTCTGTGTGTTATTTGGGACTGGTGTGGCTATGGGACCAGGTTGGTGGGAAAATTACTCGTAACATTAACCCATGAAGTATCAAATGGTGTACAGGTTTTGTGGGGTAAAGCAAAACCCTGAGTAAATTAGAGATTAAAAGCAGGGTAGTTACTACTGAGCTGGGGAGAATCCTAACATAAAGTGATAAAATAAATTTACAATTGCTTACCACTCGCTGAACCTTGTCTGCATAGAAAGGTGGATCCAGCTAGATTTTTCCAGTGATCACTAGCCATTTTCAGTGTTTATCTCTCAATCTTTAGAGATTTCTCTGTTTGTTTTGCTCATGTTCCTTTGAGTTAGAATGGTATTATTATTATTATTTTGCAGGAGGCACATACTACTTAATACTCATTATTTAGTCCTCAAACAGGCAGTTTTGAATGCTTCCTAGGTGGATGAGAGACACTGGAGATAATTGTATATTTTAATAACCATATTCTATAATTTAAAATTTATATAAACAATGTAAGTTCCAAATCTATAAAGATCACTGCTACTTTTTAAATTAGTCAAGTCAATTTTTGGGGGGAGGCACAGAACCTATGATTTCTTTTTTTAAAAAAAATAATCAGTATAAGTTTTCATCATAGCATTTTCAAACAAGATTTGTTGTTTATTCTCTTCCCCACCTCTCCATCCCTGACCTACCTTGTACCCTTCCACCTATCCACCCATAGCCTTTTTGCTTTCATGTTTCTGGTGTCCTTGAGCCCCCTGCCCTCTGTCCCATTTAGCACTTTGATGAATGGTTCACTTTCTAGTTTCATAGCCTACATGTACACTCACACCCAGCTATGTACATCCATATAGACATAGGCTAGGTCTTCATGTGATAAAGAGCATGCAACTTTTATCTTTTGGAGTCTGTGTTATGCATTTTATAAAGCAGTGACATTAATACAAGGCACCTGTAAGAACAAGTGGAGCTGGAGAGATGGCTTGCCAGTTAAGACTACCCCGCTCTTCCAAAGAACCCAAGTTTGATATCGAGTGGGTGACCCTCAACACCTGTAACAATAGCTCCACGAAATCAGATATGATCTTCTGGACTCCTTGGGAGCTGACACACATGTGAAGTGTATATCCACACACACTCACATAAAAATAAATCATCAGAAACAAACGAAAATCTCCCAGGTTACATTTGTTTCCGGAACTCTGCTGGGCCATTACCAAGACAGCATGCTTTATTCTTTAAGACTAGTTTTTCCTTCTCAGCCACTGCCAGGGGACTGCTGACTTACAATTAGCTTTGCATAGTAATTGCTGCTGCTCTCCGGTTACCCGACTGCCTCATCACCAAGAGTGCCAATGCGCTTTCTTTATGATGTGTGTGTGACTCTTGCTCTGTCCTGATAAAGCTGCCAGCCTTCTGCTGTTTTCTGGGCATATTAGCAGCTTCCCTGGGCATATGAGCCATCTCTCTCCCCTGTGTTTGCATGCCCTGCATCTCAAGTTGTTCCATTTCTTACCAAATAAAGATTCCATTACTGGAGAGTCTGTTCTATTGTTTTGTTAGGAAAAGAAGCAAAGACTTCATACCCTTTCAATGAGCTAATTTCAGGAGCATTTAAGTGAAGTGGATCTGACTTACTG